AAGGAAGGAAGAAAGGAAGGAAGAAAGGAGGGAGGGAGGGAGGAATGAAGGGAGGGAAGGAGGGAGGAAGGAAGGATAAAAAGGAGGGAGGGATGGAGGGAGGTAAGGAAGAAAGGAAGGAATGCGCGCATGCATGCATGCATGGACGATAAGGCAAAATGCTTAAATTAATCAATTGGAAGCAAGGTAGATACAAAATTTCTTTCTCGAGGTTCAACCTTATTCTTCGTAATGTTCACAATGTCATTGCTTATGATCTTTTGGTGTCTTACCTGCAGTCGACCAGTCCATTCAGCAGCACTCASACCAAGGGTCCAATAGATTCTCAAGTCTTGATGAACGCGTTAGCCCGACTACATCAGAGCGACCCTCGGGACTCGTTCATATCGTCCCCATCAYCAGATATCTACTCACCAGAGAACCGCTCACCAGAGAGAACAATGAACATGACGGGCCGTTAAATGACATCAACAGTACACACAGGAAGCCCAAACATTGTTAATGTGCCACTATATTACAGTATTTGGTGAAGTAAATCAATAAGACCTTATCTATAAAGCTGTTTTGAATAGACTGTTAMTGTGTCTTGTTCTTCACGAGTGTCGTTTATAACGACATAATAGTCATTTGCCACTGGCACAAATACCATACTTGGGCTTCCTGTGCTGTTTGTAAGTCACATGACATCGATGTGGTGTTGAAGGAGTTTTGTCTTGGTGGAACACAAAGGAAGACAATCTATTATATTTTTGTTAAATATTTAATAATAGACAAAATGAAGAACCAAACTAACACTTCAAGGTAATTCAATAACTAACTAGTTTAATAATAAAGTCAAAATAACAAAAACAAACTCAAAGCCATGATATGAGCAACGCAATTATTTTTATCACTATTTATTTTCTACAACTTTTTATACGAAGCATTGGCTTGTAAAACCTAACGAATATAAAGTGTGAATATTATATTTTTGTATATTTTTGTTTCGAAATAAAACCAACAGAGGGGCTTAACGGCAGACATGTTGTAACGAACAGCAATAAGAATGTTCTTCTTTGGGAAATGAAATCTCTTGTCAGATAAAGACATTGCATTGTTCCTACCCTACAACATGGCTGTCGTAAAACCTCCTATATCTAAATAAAAAACCTGTTTGTATTTTATCTTACGAGTCATACGGTCAGTTGACCTCACTTTTCTAAAGTTGAAGAAAGACTTGTAACCTCCTTAAAGTGAAAAGGATTATGGGGCTGAATGGGGGACGTAAGATKGCGGAGCTTTTCGATATATTCCCCACATTTACTCCCACAATCCTATGCACRACTAGGTAGTTACAAGTCTTTCAGCTTCTTTCTTTGAACTTTGGATGTTAAAGTTACTTAGCTAGCGCTACAATGTAGTTATTGGAAAGTTATTAACATTCTTGGATAGAAGAATGGAACTTAGGGACTTCATCAAACTGACAACAGTGTTACCCTCCACCCAAACAGTCAACCCCTGCATCCTTCCCTAGATTAGAAAAATATTAGTTAAAATAATACAGTAAAACTGACTAATGTCTTAGCAATATACCATGAACTAGATCAGGTACTCTTCATCTCATTCCTTCACAGTCACATGTCCGATTCAATATTGGTTATATGAAGGTAGGGCGACCCATGATCAATCTAATTCTCGTTATCAGGGTCGGTGCCCTAGACTACGTGCTGTATATCGCTAAATATTATATATTTATTTATACAGAAGCTACAATATTGATACATGACCGTAGGGTAACACCATCAATAGAGTTAATTCTCGTTATCAAGGTCGGTGCCCTAGACTACGTGCTGTATTTGGCAATAGTTAATATTAACTATGATATGGCTAAATATTTCATATATATTCAGAAGCAACAATATTGGTTACATGACTGGAGGGTGACACCATAGAGTTAGCTCTATGGCGTCACCCTAGCTAGTTCTTGTTATCAAGGTAAATGTCCTAGACTAGGTGCTATTTATAGCTCTAACTTAAAACACTAAATATTTCATATATACAGTAGCAAAACCCTTTTAGCTTCGAGGTACTGACATGATGACAACACGGAAACTAAGAAAAAAATACTAATGCAAGAATCTTGAAAATTATATTTTCTTTGCCTCACTGACCTCGTTTTCGCGGTCTTGATCTACGCACCTCCCAACTAAAACAGGTTTTGCACTAAAGTGAATACATACTGTTAGTCCTTTGAATCTTTAAACTTGATAATTGTTATATTTTACTCACTGTTTCTGGAAATAATGTCTAAAGGAAAATTTCCTCAAAAATTGTTTTAATCTCATCTTTACTGTGCTAATCTTTGAACTGGATCGTTACATCATCGCCCATCAAAAAGAAAGGAGCCCAATACTTTGGTTCACTGTATTGTGGCGTTCTTCTCATGTCGTTCATCGTCAGATGCAGGCTTGTACTCGCGCTCCTGCCGTCCCTCAGATACTTGTAAAACGTTTTCATAAACATCAAAGTAGCTTTGTCGTCGATTTTCCATAGGGAACCCACCACAGCACGAGCACCTGACGCGAGAAAGGCTCGACACATGCCAACTATTCCTTCAGCTTTAATATCACCACGCCCACTGTGACAGCAGCTTAACACAACTAACTGTGCACGTACTTGAGTCTGCTGTACATCAGCCATGGTCAGCATGTAATCTTCTTCATCTGGGATCTTTGATGCTCTTATCTCAGGAGAAGGAGCAAGTACGATGGTGGCCTTTTCCAGGCTACCGTATGCAGCGATGTGAACAACAGACGCTCCTTCTTGTAGTCTCTTTATGACAACGGGTTTCGTAGCGTAAGCTGACAATAACGGCCGAGCTCCAAGCATGATAGCTATTCCATCTGCCTCTTCTATTGCGCCATCTAAGAACTCAAATTTAGTTTCAACTCCATCCAACATGACTGGACCAACGACGGCAGCGCCAATGATCAGTGCTTCGTTTTTGGATTGTTGCTCCACTGGGTATTCTTGGAGAAGCTTTAAAGATGATATTGAGGGAGCCATTCTTATTCGCTTTGTTTCTGACAAATATTGTCCCGTGTCTGGGTCCCGTAGGGCAGCAAATGGTAATCTGCACAAAGGACCTTCAGGAATAATGACCATTTCGTCTTGTTTAATCAAACACTTGATGTTGGTTATTAACTTTTGGTACAATATTTTCAGGCCATTGGTCAGGCTGCTCTCATCGCAGTTTTCTGAAGGGTTTCCTCTGCATACACAACATTGTTCTGATAACCTTTTCTGTATCTCTTGAAACAACAGCTGCGTTAATTCATCTTCTTTGGGATTCTTGTTCGCTTTAGAGTAGCGCATCACGTCTAATGATCTGTCCTCACATTTTTCTACCTGATGCACTTTCATATCGTCATATGTTTTATCAACAAGCTTGTCTAGGCATGAGTCACAGTATTCCAAATGCTGGACTGAAAATCCAAGCTTGTTTCCTGCCTCTACTACAAACGTGTTCAACTCTTCAAGACACATCGAATAAAACAGAAGAGTGTAGTTACAGCTGGAAACAAGAGACTGGACATCGGCGTACTGTAAATCCTCATCAGCAGTTTGTTCTTTCTTCATTTCATAGCTTGAAACAAGGAGATCTTTCAGGTCTTCTGCACGATAGTGGTCAGACAACACCAGTGCTTCTTCTTTCTTGTTGGTTTCAATAAGAACCTTCAGAAGCGTCTTGAAAGCCTCTTTGTATTTATCAATGAATGCTATTTTGAATCGATCGTTTTGCTTAAGACCAATAAATATTAATTCATAGCACGTTAACGATTCTTTCAATGACTTCTCTGTATTCTCAAACTGTTTAAGTTTATAATACACTTCTCCTAGTCTTAAATGGGACATTGCCTGTTTGGACTTTGAGCCCTCTTTGCGTGCGACATCAAGTGCTTCTTGCTGATACTGTATACCCTTATCGTATTCCCCAAGTAACACATACAGCTCAGAGATGTCATGCTTAAAATCCCATAAAAGTCCACGATATTCGACTTTATTGATAATGTTCTTTCCGAGCGCCATACAAGTCTCAAGACATGAAATAGCTTCCTCGTATTTATCTTTTTCTTTATAACACACGTAGTCAAAAAACGAATAGAAAAAACGTTTCTGAACACCATCTGGAAGCTTTTTCAGGAATGCCTTTAATGATAATAATTCGCTATATCCTTCAGACAAGCCAACCATTTCATAAATCCCATTAATACGTATTCCAAAATAGGTTACGTTATGATTATCCTCTAGTCGTCTAGCTATGGTCATGTCTTCTGTAAAGTGGGAGTGAGCAGCATCGTATTCTTCTTCATCCAAGTGCGCATTCCCTAACAGTATTAATGCCTTCATCTCAACCACTTTATCACCAGATTCCTGTGCGATGGCAAGACATTTTGTACTATATGATATAGCATCATCATATTCTTCTTTCATCAAGTGCGCATTTCCTAACATCATGTACGCATTCATCTCAGCCACTTTATCACCAGATTCCTGTGCGATGGCAAGACATTTTGTACTATATGATATAGCATCATCATATTCTTCTTTCTTCAAGTGCGCATCCCCTAACGTCTTGTATGCATTCTTATCTTCACATTCCGCTTGTGTGCTCATCCTGAATTCACTAATGAAATTGTCATCTAGCGTAATTAAAGCAGAAGAAAAAGAATGATAAGGTTTGAATCATTGTGTTCCTGGGCTAGGCACTCTATAAGTGTATCAGTTAAATAACCCACTCTACTAATAATGCCAGTATATCTGCCTGGACAGAGACCAGACTGTTGCCCTTTGTCGTTTATTTTTATCCGTGGTATCATATCGCTTATTTGTCGAATAAGAGATAAGGTAAAAAATTAATATCAGTCAAAAATATGAAAGGTATCGACTGATTAGGTTTGATTGACGGGAGAAAAAAAAAATTCAGCGTGCAGCTCGCAGACACAGAGTTCGCATGTTTATGAAAATTGAAGTAAAATGCAGATTAGCTACATTTACAAAGCTGTCGAGAATCTCTTTAGAAACGAGTATCAAGATCGAAGTTTATAGTGAAAAACAGAGCAATCTCAAATAAAGTAATTGATACTTTTTATTCTAAAACTGCTATCATCTTAAAAATGCGCGACAAGTGTGGCGCGGCTTCACAAAACAGCGTTACCAACTCGTTTGGTTTCCAGACAGAGAAAAAAAAATGATAGAAAAATCGATATTTTAAGCCTTTAAAGCATCAGAAAACATATTCAATTCGAAGAACAATTACTTTATTGATCGTTGAGCTAACCAACTGAGAATGGTTGAAAGTACAAAGGGCTCACATCTCGAATAAATTTTTTTCCGGTCAATGAACTGAGAAGCAAAAGTTAAAAAACAAGACGCCCGGCTCTTGGAGCGTGCACTGGGTTGCCAAATATGCTGGTATGCTGGAGCTTACTTAAAGTGTCTATCACCCTTCTGACAATACTCTCAGTGTTGATTCTACATGGGGTAAGATGTGGAATGACCCGAAAATATTTCATAGTTTGAGTGCGGCTTCTTGAAGATATATAGCTTTTTCCATGCCATATGCTAATGTTGTGACGTATGAGGAGGATTTATGGTTATTTGTTGTTCCTCGTAATTCGAAACAACGGCTTCTATGTGAAAACTAACTTGCAATAATTTCGATAAGAGCAATGGGAAAAACAATGACGTATTCCAAATTTTTTTTATGTGTGCCAGTAATGTTTTGTATATTAAATGATTACTCCTCATACGTCACAGCATTAGCATATGGCTTGGAAAAACCTTTATAGCTTCAAGAAGCTGCACTCAAACTATGAAATATTTTCGGGTTATTCCACATCTTACCCCATGTAGAATCAATACATGAATATTGTCAGAAGGGTGATAGGCACTTTAACACCTAATCCTACTTTGGAACACAGGTGTATTTTTCTTTCGGAACTTCCAAACACTTATTTTTTCTCACATCAAATTTATTCAAAAGTTTACACCTTTTAAATTTGTTTTTTTGATAAAAATGTACCGCTTTTGAATATCTTTTAACCAGTGAAGTGGAATGACACTCGATTAGTAAAACTATACAGATGCGGTTTTGTAACAGGAGAAAACAGCTTTTCGTTACTGACTTCAGCTCCATCTAAAACTACACTGACAACAACTAACGTGACCCCAAGGCTCGTGGCGCCTGACGACATAAATATATTTCTTTCAAGGACCGTGTATAGGCCAAAGAAGCGACATAAATTCGTTTAGAAATATGTTTAAATGTTTTTTTTTTCGCTAACCGCTCTGAAGTTCTCGATCTCTCCATTATTGATTATATTCTTCAAATATTGTTTTTTTAAATATCCAAACCAGTTCAGTGGAACTGTTACCCTGCGAGCAGAGTCTCCTTTTAACTCCTCTACGGGCGAGACTCTGCTCGCAGGGTATGGAACTGTGAAACTCGGTTAGTAAAAGGATTTAAAACTTAGCCAAAAGGTATTTACGGCCAAAGTTAGCAGCTCTGATTACCGCGTAAAATTTAACAATATTTTCATGTATATGTCTTATTAACCAACACCTGACTGAAAGCCATATTTTGATTTAGGCTCAACTAACCCACGCGATTGAAGCCAGAATACTGCCGACTGAGTAGCTGTATTAATAC